TAAGCAGATTAAGCACTGGACTTAATCACATTTAAGGTATGCTTAAGAAAAGCAAGTCTCTCTTGGCCTCAGTTCCACATCTGTAAAATTATAACTTCTCAAAGTGTCTGTTACAAAGACTGAAATAAAAACAATGCACCTCAAAGCACTTTCAAAGTAATACAAATAATAAAATCAATAATGTTCCTTCTGCCGCTGAATGACTTAAGATTAAAGAAATATGCTATTTTTGCATACTCTAGAGACTTATTAACCAGTAATGTAGTAATGAATATTTGTACAGTGACAGGTTACCCAGGCAACACGGTATTTACCAGGCATAAAATTAGCATTATAAAGTAGCTCCCCAGGGACATTAAATTAAAGTTAGTAGTACACTTGATTTTGCTGTTGGTTCTCAACAAATAGCCAAAGATAAGGTAAATCTTTATTGGCTCCTCCTAGTTATGTCACAGAGATTACTATATATATATCACACCTTTCCTCCATAAAGCTCAAAGTAGCATTCATGATTTTCCCCCTTTCCAGTTTGTTCTAAAAACTACGTGAAGTTAGGCTGAGAGGCAGTAATTGGCTCCAAGGTCACCCCAGGGAACTTCCTGGTGACCTGGGGAAGCCTTGAAGAAAACAAGTCTTGAGGGGAAAGGCTCAAGCTAGAGGGAACTTTTTGTCCTAAGGGCACCTGTGTTATAATTCATTGGTCCCTCTGATAGCAGTTTCACTGTGTGTGAGCTTGAGCTCCTTCTATATCAGCTACAACTTATACATAGCTCTGTCAGTAGAGCGTGAGACTCAGGGTCATGGGTTCGAGCCCCACATTGGCCAAACGATTCCTGCATTGCCCCTTCCAACTCCACAATTCTATGATTTTATGATCTCTGCGAGGTGCTACTATCACGGCCCTTGGGGCTCCTTGCCTCGGATACCATCTCATCCTCTTCTTGGGGTGGGAAAAGTGTTCTTGCAGGTTTCCCAGCCCCTACTCTCTTCCCCAGAATTTGGACCACATATACCAAAGCTCCCCAGATTGGGGGAAGGAGCTCTTCCCCTTCATCCTATTACCCTTGCCCAGCCCCTTGGAGTCTCCAACTTAGGCCAAGCATTTTCCCCTTGCTACTGCCGTGTTTCCTACTCTTCCTAGGATGTCCTTGCCCTCTTCTTTCCTTCTGAGATGGTCCATGCCCCTTGGGCTACCACATCAGGCTGTTTAAATAGTCCAACAGCATTGGCTGACCATAACTCCATTCCCTGCCCAGCTCCTCCCTAGGCTCCAAACAGCTTTCAGGCAGGCTTGCAAATTCCTGGCACCCAAGAATGGCACCAGGAACAGGTGCTAGGGCTTGCAAGTGTCCTGGCCTGGCTTCTGCAGCACTTCTGTGAGAAATATCAGAGTAGTAAAAATATAATCAATAAAATCCAATTTAAAAATCATATCAAAACTGACATCAATATTTATGAATTTGAATAACCCAACATGGATTAAGAACTAGACAAAATGGTCTTCTGGAAGTATAGGATCAAGAATGTGGGGAGATGAATCTTGATCAGGAGTGCCAACAAAGCCCAAAAACCAACAAATAAGGAAAGTAATGTGAACATCCTATACTAGTCATACTGCTACTTAGTATAGGTGTGAGAACAATGGTTACATCAGAATCGCCTATATTAAGCATTTAAGATTTAGACTTCAAGATGAGTAAAAGAGAGAGAATAATAAGAAATTGCCTGAGAGAAAGCTGTGAGAACGGGAGTGTGAACGGACTCATGCAAGACTTTCATGATGACAGAACAGACCCAGGAGATCCTGCTTCCCATGATGCTGTACATGCCTTTGCTGACTGATAGAATAATAGAATCATAGAACTGCAGAGCTGGAAAGAACCCCAAGGGTCACCTAGTCCAACCCCCTGCAATGCAAAAATCGCAACTAAAGAATCCCTTAAGAATGGCCATCCAACCTCTGCTTAAAGACTTCCAATGAAGGAGTCCTCCAATCCAAGTTTATGGCACAGGTCAAATCCTTACACCTGCACAGAAGACCCTCAGTGCCTGAACCAACTCACCCACACCATACTTCTTGATTGGGAAATGGCAGAACATCTCTCCTATGTTTGGAGGAAGAGCTCCCTGGACTCTCCAATTCAGTTTCCAGTGATAATGAATGTCCCAGGAGAGTCTATTTACTTAAAAGATCATAATGATTGTTCTCAGTACTTTTCAAAGCATAGATATGTCAGATTTCAAAAGACCAGAATTCAGTTCTATTTGGCAAAACATTTTGACGTGACAAACAAAATGTAAGCAAGGAAGAATTTCTTTTGCTCCCATTCTGCTGGTGAATATATTAAGCTCCATAAACTGATGAAGGGCTTCCATATAATGTGAAAAGGGAGATAATGTAGTTCCTTTGAAAGAGAAGACAGTGCCCTGGCTATTTTCCAAATGCACAAAGAAATGATTTATCAGTTTAAACATATTAGCTATATTTCCAGCTTTTATCAGACAGTCCTGTTTTATTTGCAAGGTATATTTTTTACATTTAGTGGACACTAACTATGGACACCATTTTAAAAGTAATTTTTAAAGTAAGTTTTAAAATAAATTTTAATTTTTACATTTTTTGTGGATGGCTCTGACTAAGTAAAACAACTTGTGACATGGAAGCCATTTTCAAACAATCTGTTCATATGACAAAATCTTGGTTTGAGAACTTTACCTCGGTCTAAGCACGGAATCTGAACTGTGGAAGGGCACCGGCAGCAGGAGGCCTCATTAGGGAAAGTGCGCCTTGGTTAAGAATTGTTTTGGTTTAAGAACAGACTTCTGGAATGGATTAAGTTCATAAACCAAGGTACCACTGTATCTGAAAGCAGAATTTACCCTTGCCATTAGTCATCCACTTGACCAAGGTGAGCAAATTCCTCCAAGGCATATATCTTGGCAGAGACACTGCGAGTCACCTTGTGTCAAACAGGCAAATGGGTAAGTGTGAAATAGTAAACATTTAGTGGAAGTACTTATCTATGAAGCTGGTGAGTGATTAAAAACCATGGTCTCCAAACTATTTTTAAGTCTTCACCTTGTATCAATTCTATCAGTTCCTGTTCTGAAAACAGCGCACAAAGTCAAAGTGCTTATACAGCAACTGGATAACTCGTTTCTCTATAGTTTCCTAGACCACAACTGAGGTTAAAAACATGTTTTCCATACACTTCAGTATAACAACAATGAGAGCAATGTGGTGTTAGCCCCGAGCTGAACAGCAACACAGTCATATCTGCAGACGTGCACATTCTTGACGATAGCCCTTTACAGGTTTGTAATTCATAATTAATGCCCCCAATGAGAAACAATCACTTTTGTCAAAGCCCTAAAGCCACAACTAGCTAATTACCAATAAAAGCTCTACAGTCTCAGTTAAGCTTTGGGAATGTCGCTATGCACAGCAAATAGCCCAATGGTGAGCAATGTTTAAATCCTCTGGACTTTTTTGGGGTAAATATTCTATAGTTTTATATTTTCCCTTCCCCTTGCAATCCTCACAAGCCCTTGTGTTAGACACATAAGCTAAAAGCACAGCGGCAGAGACACAACAATTAGAGCCACCCCACACACCACAAAAGCAGCTATTTGTTTAACAAAAATTAGGTATGCAACACCAAGCTACATCTATTTTGGCCCTGGTTCATAAAATGAAGGTAATTTGTTATTTATTATAAGTCCTCACTCACTCTCACAAAATGATGATTGTCACAAATGATAGTATTACTAAACCATACAGTTTGTTCTTGTTTTTTGAATAATTTTTATCGATATTCTTTCTTACAACAAATATCCATCATCATTACTAAGCATTCATTTTCAGATTTCCCCCCTCCCTGTTGACTTCTCTCAGCTTTCATTTCTGGTTTGTTACATCAAATAGTACAATCTGCTGTTTGTATTTAATACTATGTTGTCACACTGTTATACTACTTGTTCTCTTTAAATAAAGTTGTAAATGTTTATTTAAATTTAAATTTATTTAAATCCTGCCAGTGACTTCATGTTTTTTTTTGTTTCTGCAAATATGTTATAAAAGTTTCCCATTCCTTTTCGAAGTCACTATTGTCTGTTAATTTTGCTAACTCTGCATAATTCATCAACTTTTCTTGCCATTGTCCTTTGAATGGTACTTCTCCAATCTTCCAATTTTATGCTATTAAAATTCTTGCTGCTGTTGTAGCATACATAAATGTCTGCTTTTCTTTCGACAGCTCTTGTCCTAAAATACCCAACAAAAAAGCTTCTGGTTTTTTAACAAATGCTATTTTAAACATTTTTTTTCAATTCATTGTATATCATTTCCCATTTATTTTTTAATAATCGTGTAATCCCATCACATATGGTTAAATGTACCTTCCCTTTCTTCCCCAGTTTGAAGTCATTATTGAGACTGATTAAATGACATTTCCTCTTCTGAATAGTCAGTGGATAGTGGTACAAAAGCAGAAACTAGAGCGAAATACCATTGAAAAAGGATACGTATTTATCAGTAATAACTGGAAAGGTAAACCATGATATCCTAATCCTGTCAGCCAATCATTGGGGTTTTTGTTTTTTTAATCTACACTGTTGTGAGGTTAACTTTAAAGGACAGTAATGATTCTTGTTCCTCTGCCTGCAAGTATATAACTGAGTACAATTATGAGACCAGTTCTGAAATCGGAGCAAGAGAAATCCCTGAAAGGTTTTCCTTTCTGCTTTCATAGCATGACCAACACATCCGCCATGTATGTCTTCAGAAGCTCATGTTGGTGCAGATGCATTTTTTAAACCTGGGGTATGCACCACAGTTAATTAGCTTTTTCTACCATGGGTCTGCCAAGAATAGTCCAGGAAAAGAAGTTAAAAGAGTTTTGCTCAAGGCAATGAGAATGCAGTGAACCACCAACACAAAGTTACAGGTAGGTAGCCGTGTTGGTCTGCCGTAGTCGAAACAAGATACTGTAAAAAAATTCCTTCCAGTAGCACCTTAGAGACCAACTAAGTTTGTTATTGGTATGAGCTTTTGTGTGCATGTATCTGAAGAAGTGTGCATGCACATGAAAGCTCATACCAGTAACAAATTTAGTTGGTCTCTAAGGTGCTACTGGAAGGAATGTTTTTATTGTGTTTCCACCAATACAAACATACTGCAATAATTCAAAATTATATGATGCAGTGTCTATATTATTAAGGGGGCCAAAAATCTACAGATAGCATTTGATTTTATTCTTATCCCACTAGATAAACTAGTTCATCGCTGTGTTCCTATGCAAAGGCTTATTTTTTTTTTGTTCCAGCCAGTTGCTGGCATTAGTAACTATGACTTCAACTCAGCCAGAACAAGTTTGCTTGCATAGTCAGACTTGAGCCAAAGAATGGTCTGGTGCCACTTGTTAAATGTTTGCCTTGTAAAACATTGTGTGAGTCAGCTACATTCGACTTGTGCATTTGTTGACTCTCCACTTGTGCATTTGTTGGAAGCCGCCCAGAGTGGCTGGGGAAACCCAACCAGATGGCCGGGTATAAATAAATAAGCGCCATTGATTCACATGACCAGGTGTATGCGTGGTGCTGAGAAATAATTAAATAATTTTATTCATACCACGAAATGGAGGGAGAGATCCGGACAGTCCTTGTGGCTTGTGAGGATACCATCCCTGGAGCCTGAAGAGGACTTCAGAGAGGGCAGAGAAGAGACTGGAGGCACAGTGGGACTTTGTTTAGGCTGCTTACTTAGCCTTCCTCTCTAACAGCTGATGCACATGGTAGCACAGCAGCAGCTGCTACTTTTCAGCAAGTCCTCCAGCCTCAAGCCAGCCCCAGAGCTTCAATTCCAGTTGTGGATATTTTTGGTACAATGTTTTATATCTGGATTGGAAAGAGAGCAGCAGAGAGGGTATTTAAAGGGTGCTCCTCACTTGTGTGATTTTCACTTATGCGTTCAGGGCGCCAGAAAATAACCCCCGTGAAAGTAGGGAGTTGCCTGTAATCCAGGGATGGGAAACCTGTGGTCCTGCAGATGTTGTTGGACTCCCATATGCCCCAGCCAGCATGGGCAATGGTCAAGGATGATGGGAGTGCAGTCCATCATCATCTGATGGGCTACAGGTTCCTCACCAATCCATAATCCTTCCCCAGAGTACAATGTATTAACTTACTTTCATTCAGTTTGAACTGTATGTCCCAATGTCTGCAATAAAGAAATGCAGCCATTATACATTGTGGGCTTCTGCCTGTGACCATAGCATAAACATTAGAAATTCTGATAAATCTTTTCAGAAGGCAATTAAAAAATCCCATTCTTAATATACTGCATGCCACCCTAATCTCAGAGTAGTGCAGATTACAGGTGCTTACCCAGGGTTCATGTTTTTTGTTTTTTTTTAAATGAGGCACAGCAGACTGTCTTTATTATATTTAGTTTACAGGCATACCTCGGGTTACAGACACTTCAGGTTTTTTCAGGTTATCGATGTGCCGAAACCCGGAAGTACCGGAACGGGTTACTTCTGGGTTTCGGTGGTCGTGCATGCGCAGAAGCGCCGAATCACAACCTGTGCATGCACACACGTGGCACTGTGGGTTGCAAACGTGCTTCCCACACAGATCACATTCGCAACCCGAACGTCCACTGTAATTACATATATATATACAAAATGAGCCTAAGATGGAGGCATTCACAGCATTAACAGGGGCTTGTTTCTCCTATAGCTGAAGCCTTGGATTGAAATAGAAATTAACCATCATGCTCTAACCTTCTCTTCAGCTTGCTGCCTTTACCCAGCCTGCAATTTTTCTTTCTCTAGGTCACATCACAGTCAACCCTGAAGACTCTGGCTCTGTCTTCTAACTAACTCTGAGCTGGAGGAGGGGCCTCATCCATTTTCCATTTGGCACAGAGCCCCCCCTCCTCCTTGGTTTTCTTAATGGTCTATTACCATCCCTTTGTTTTAATGACTCACCTCCCAGGCAATTACCTCATCAGGAAATTGGCCTGGCTTATATTTTAACCCTCGCTGGATCCAGAGGTTCAGGAAGCTTGATTAAGTTCTCGCACTTCCAGGATCCAGAAATTTAGGGGAGTCTGGCAGCCCCAAACTCATAACAATATTAACTTACTTTAATTCAGTTTCAGTTTTAATTATATTTATCACTTATGGCAGTGGTTTTCAACCAGTGTGCAGTGTCACCCTGGAGTACCCTGAATGATGGTCAGAGTGCCGCGGGCAACATCGGTCTCTGTCCCTCTTTCCTTCCCTCCCTCCTCTGAAGCCTTCTTGTGTCTCTGCATCCTAAAGGCTCCCACAACTGTTTGTTGAAGCAGCCCTGGCTACAAGCTTCACAGGCAAATTGTGTTTCTGGGGCTAGTAAGGTGGTGCTGGCTGCTAGAAGCTGAGGTGGCCTCGGAGCAAGCAAGCAAGCAGGCAAGGCAACTGAGAGAACAGGAGTGGCAGCAGCGGCTGCCCTGGGGACTTTCAAGGAGAGGAGGCTGAGGAAATACTCCACAAGGGAAAGTGTTCGAAAATGGGTGAGAGGCTGCCAGCTCTGCAGACAAGGGGTGACATAACTGGGCTCCTGAGCCCCACACAGGGGTGCCACAGAAAGAATGCAGTTAGCCAAGGGAGCCATGGACTCAAAAAGCTTGAAAACCTCTGACTTACACATAAGAATACCAGATGAAATAATGTAAAACACTGTAGTTTTTGTTGTGAAATTGTCTTATGATGATATTGTCACATTCCAATTTCTGCAGATAAGTTTTGAAACTAGAATAAATGTATATGTATGCAAATAGAGCTAGCTTGCAGATAATTCCAAACAGAAAAAGTATAACAGCATTTGGAGTATATAGTACACGGTCCTAATTTAAGCATTAAGGAACTGAACCCTCCAAGTCCTAAACCAGGCGAAGTGCCAGTTCAATTTGGAAAATTAGATCCTGATCCAGATCTCTTCAGCAGAAGGTCTGAAGTTACATCTCCATTACTGTTTAGAGCATGACAATTTTGTTACTGTCTCCAGTTAGTTCATAGTTTAGTTTATGAATAAATATCCTGCCTTTCTGTATAAAATATATTAGAGGCAGATTACAAAGAACAATACACATAATAAAACAAACAACAAATGGCAGAAAAGCAGTAGGATGAACCCAAAACTTCAAAGAGGCAATCATTATAAGGAAGTCTAAAAGTTTGCTGGAATAATACTGCCTTTGCTGTTTCAATCATGGAACCGGGAAAGAATCTGAGATATACAAGAATCCCAGTTTGTGTGCCCTGTTCATAAGGCACCAACTCCTATGATACCTCAAGTAAGACTACAGAGCATCATATGAAAGCCCATAGACTAACTGCACAGCACCATCTGCAAGGTGTTTAGTGATCTATTCCAAAACGAGCAAAGTTTTTCAATCCCCCTGCCACGCTATGCATATCAGAATTTATGAGGCAAGGGTATGCATGTGGCAGCCATACACTAGCTTCCAGCTTGACAATAGCTGCAACTACTCATTACACTAGAGTATCTTACACAAATAATTTTCCTATTTCATTTCTGCAGAGAATTGACAAACCATGGCTTGTAATGGATCAACTAAACAAAATGAGACAGATTCACCTATATGATGCCTACAGCAATCTCCTTTGAAAATCCATTTTCTGCACCAATTATCTGATTAGCTCAGGGCATATGTCTTTCAAAGAGGCTCTCTTAAACTGCCAATCAGCTGATCTTTGGTTACAGGGTGCCTCTTTGAAGACACTGCAGATGGGAAAATGCTCTTAAAAATTGACTACAGTATTTTCCCCTCTGCAGAAAAAAACCAATTTGTATTCAAAATACGAACTACATTAATGCCCTGGAAGAAAAAAAGACTTCATTTTTAAATGGAGCATTTTTCTCTCTATCCAGAGGAAGCATTTTGAATCCAAGTCACTTCCTCCAGTCCATTTGGCTGTACTAGGGAGTTCCCAAAATTAATACTGACTGTCAGGACTTTGGCAGCGCAGGGTTCTCTTCAAGCCCTGACAATCAGTTAAGAAGTGCTTTGCAAGTACCACTGATCAGCTGATTGACATTGCCTGCAACCCCCTTTTTGTTACCTGCCATACACCTGAGATGTTATATATATAACATCAGGTGTAGGGCAGGTAGGAATGGCTCAGCCACCATGGCCTGGTAGACCAAATGGGCCTGGCAAACCTGATTAAACCAGTTTGCTGGAGTTTCCCCACCCTTTAATTTGCTAACTGTGGTTTGGTGTGATGTCCATATCGACAAACCATAGTTACAACTGTTCCAGAAACCACTGCACCTAGAGGCAGGAAGGCTGAACAGATAGGAGAAGAAAGGGTCTTTTTCAGCAGGATGCTACAATTGATCATGAGTCCCTGGCATGTATCCACCACATATTTAAGCAATCTTTAAAGTGTTTGCATGATAAACATGTATGATGCATAAAGTATAAATCAAATATTACATTGCAAAAACTAGGAATGTTCATGTGACATCTGTCCTGAAAAGTTAGAGAATACTTCACTATTGACTGCTAAACTAAGAATTTCTTTTGCTGCAAATATTTTGTAAAATTCCATGAGAACATCTAGAATGAAGATATATTTGGATTCCCAAATAATTCAGCAGTGAGCAAAGATCACAGTAACAGTGATGTGAGAAGCAGCTCATAAATCAGAAACTCCTACTTTCTAGCTCTCTCTAGGGACTTGTGACACAAAGTACTTGATGCAAGCAATAGTTTGCAGATTTATTTCAGCCAATTAGGTCATTACATCTTCTAAGAGAGCTTAACAGGACTTTAAACATGAGCTAATCTTGTGTGAAATGTACACAGTACTACAAAACAATCAGAAACTGCATAGGAACAGAAGCTTCCCCTCATCCCTATTCTTCAAAAGTGATGTTTGTTTTTTTTAAATTTAAAATACTATGAAGAATTTTCTAGAATAGAGTTGAAATACAATATATCACATGGCATGGTTCTTGAATCTACTCCTGTATCTCATATATGCAGAATCTGCTTGCACCCTCCACCATCTAGATAAAACCCCTACACTCTTCAAATGCCCTTTGGTGGATCAGAAAGTGATTTTTAAGGGTAGATATTTATGACAATTAATTCATGAAGGATTTGAAATATTTCCTATAGATGCATTTGTCAGAATTTCAAGAGCATCTTTAAAATGCTGGTGCTTAGAGGACAGGAGCCAGTGTACTTCATGGTAAACTCAAGAACAGAGCATATCATGCACACAGTTTCACATTCACACACAAAGATGCAAGTATTTTGTAACAAAGGAATGAATGTGCTAGTCACTGGTGGAGGAAGAGGGGGGCAGGGGAGCACCCCACCCCCAGCAGCATGATCCCGGTGGGGTTCCATCACGGCTGCCCCACCCCCACGCTGGGCACCCCGCCCCCGCAGGCGGCGCGCCACACCCCCAGGATGCACACCACGCCCTTCGGGCAGCGCACCACGCCCCCAGGACACACACCACGCCCCTTTGGGTGGCGTGCCATGCCCCAGGGCGCACGCCAGCCTCGCCCCTGCCTGCTCTCTGCTCTCGGTGCCGGAGCATGAAGCTCCGCCACTGGTGCTAGTACATTTTCTCATCTCAATGTACCCTTCAAGAAGCATGGCAAATATATATAGGCACCATGACTTACCTGCATAGCTCAGTAGAAATTAATAGCCAACAGGCTTGGAAACCACTTGTTAAGAAGGTTTGTAAAGATAAATCAGAGCAAATATGAAATTAACGCCGAACAACACAGATGGAAAACTAACAACAAATTCTGTTGTACTAAATCCTAATTCAGATGTTATTGGATTACCATGGTTGCTTCTTCCTTGTTGTTGGATTACATGCCATTTTAAGTAATGTTTAAATAATGGGAATACCAGGATGGTGTTGGTATGTATAATACCCACATCATTACTGGATAGGAAGTGGGGGAAATGCTCACATAATTAGAATCCACATGATCAGCTTATCCTTAGCAATTCCGTTCTTCAAATGTTACCAGGGCAGCATAAGATCCAGCCACAAAGAAGTACAAGCCATACTTCTGGTAAAGTATGAATCAGACGAAACAGAGGAAAAGGTGCTAAGCAGGTCACACAAACACCAACTAAAAATGTCATGAGACACAGAGGGAACAAAAGCCCTAACTGCTCTACTGCACAACTGAAGAATCCATTAGGAAGTGGCATGGCTGTTTCAAGTCATGAGGTATGCAGAGTCACTTCCTAAATTACGTTTTCCTAAACACACACAAATATGTCTGTGGAGAGGGAAAACATGTACATTGTTTATTTGCCATGAGTACACTGGATGGGAAAGACAAAGTAGAAGCCGAGAGGAATATACAGTCAATGCCGTGGATCCTCCAAAGACAAAATATTAAGCACAGGTTACAGAGGACTCCATTCTATCTGAAGAGACCACTAGTTTACAAGTTTATATTTAACTGTGTTAGAGGACATAGCTTGAAGCAGGAAAAAACACTGGCAAAAGGCAAAAGAAAACACTATAAAATCCAGCAGAGTATCTGAACTCAAATCAATTAAAAGATAAACAATAAGAAAAACAGAAAAATAATGTAAGCCTAACACTACACCAATAGATATGCAAGTATAATACAGTGATACCTCAGGTTACATACGCTTCAGGTTACAGATACTTCAGGTTAGACTCCGCTAACCCAGAAATATTACCTCGGGTTAAGAACTTTGCTTCAGGATGAGAACAGAAATCGTGCTCCGGCGGCGCGGCGGCAGCGGGAGGCCCCATTAGCTAAAGTGGTGCTACAGGTTAAGAACAGTTTCAGGTTAAGAATGGACCTCCAGAACAAATTAAGTTCTTAACCCAAGGTACCACTGTAATGAACTATGGTAAATGCCATATAGAAAGCAGTTACTATCACTTTAGGGACATTTATCTACCAGAACTCAGCCAAAACAGACCGAAGGTGTATGAGATTGCTACAACATTGCTTTCCAAATCTCAAAATGCTACACAGTTCAGTATGAAATACAGTGGTGCCTCATTTAAGAACAACCCTGTTTATGAACTATTCAGTTTAAGAACGCCACAAAACCGGAAGGAGTGTCCAGGTTTGCGAACTTTACCTCACTCTAAGAACGGAATCCGAATGGTGGAAGGGCACCAGTGGTAGGAGGCCTCATTAGGGAAAGCGTGCCTTGGTTTTAAGAGTGGTTTCGGTTTAAGAACGGACTCCCGGAAAGGATTAAGTTCGTAAACTGAGGTACCACTGTATACAAAATACACACTTGAAGTCTTTCGTAATGACAACATAGCATACATTATCTGTCTTTGCGATCAAATAGGCCTTTCCACTAAACCAGCTGACTATAGTAAGAAAAATGAAGTTTATCTTGATAAGAACCACTGTTATGATATAAACCCACCACTGAGAAATCCCTTCAATTAAAAAAAATATTACGTACATACTTGAGTATAAGCCAACTTTTTCAGCACATTTTTAATGCTGAAAAAGCCCCCCTAGGCTTATACTCGAGTGAGGGTCCTTTTGGGCTGCTCCTTCCTCTTCCTCCGCCTTTGCCGTTGTCGGCGGCAGAGGAGGAGGAAGGAGCAGCCCAAAAGCAGCCCTTTTGGGCTGCTTGTTCTTCCTCCACCGCTGCCGCTGTCACCAGCCTCTGCCTCTCGGCAGCACCCTAGGTAGACAGGGGGGCGGGAGGGGCTGGGGGGAGAGAGAAGCCCCCTCTGCGCGCACACACACACACACACTCCGGCCCACCAGGAGGTTTGTGGTGTGGTAAACCGGCTTATACTCGAGTCAATAAGTTTTCCCAGATTTTTGTGGTAAAATTAGGTGCCTCGGCTTTTGTTCGGGTCGGCTTATACTTGAGTATATACGGTAAATTGAACTAAACAAAAAAATGCTGTTTAGTAAAAACTGTACGTTTAAGTTGTATCTTAATAAGAAGGTTGGAGAAAAGCAACAGACTTTCCTCCCTTATCATGGTTTTATTTATTTACTTATTAATTAAATTCCTATACCACACTTCATCCAAGCGTCACAGGGCAGTTTAAAATATAAAAACATAAAAATACATACATACCATAGTACCAAACAATAACCCTCCAACACACAAATATTTTATTCTTTTCATTTGGAGCCAGGAAAAATATTCTTTTCTAACACAAAATTGCAGCAATTTAAAGTCTTGCACAACAGGAACAAAAATGAATTTGAGGGGAAAGGAGTGGGAGTTAGCTGTCTGGAGCCAAGAGGTCTGCATGTGGTCAAGTTAAATATCAAGTTTTAATTTTGCTCTCATGGGTTTTAGAAACAGCAAGAGTCAGGATTTGCTTTAATTGGGATTTCTAAAAATAACACTCACCTATACAACTAATGCTATTCAAACAGTTCTGCCAGATCAAAAGCTAGTTAAGTAATAAAGCAAACAGAGCCTGTAATTAGAGCACAGAAGTAAAGGCAGGAGATCAAGTTCTCTTCTGAGGCAGCTCACATTTTTTGGCGAATGTCTGAGAAGCGTCTTAAAAGTTGTTGTTGTTTTTTTATTCAAGACATTTATACCCTACTTATCATGGACACAGGGTCCAGGTCTTGCAACAATCCCACCTGTTTACATACCTTCAAACCATGGATAACACTTCATGTAGCTGATGAAATAGGACTATTATGCCATAATAAATTTCCAGTCTTTTAAAGGGGCAGCAATACTCTTGTTTTAGGCGCAAAAGATTATGGCTACCGCTCTGGCACTTTCCTAGTGAGGGCATTGTTGAGACCTAAGCAGACCATACTAGTTCACAAGTGTTACAGGTTCTACTGATGCAAAAATATTTGCATAGAGAACTTCACAGTTTAACCCAGATGATGACCTAAACTGCTTTGACAAAGTTAAGGGGAAATATATATATGAGAAACTGGGACAAGAGCTATAAAAACCTAATCTGATGTTTAAACAAACCTATAAATGTGTGAACAGAGTCATCACTCTGAGAATATACAGATGAGCCAACTAGGCTAAAGAACTGCTCTTGTTTTGCCCATAATCCTAAAAAAACTAGGAAGCTCTCAAAGTTAGAGACACAGAATTGTGTTGCAAGATACCTGGATTCAACTGGAGTATGCACCCTGTGTTACTTCAAATCAGAAACAATCCAATCTGAAACACAACTGATCTCAACATAATGTGGTAACCATTTTAATATACAGTCATAACTTGAGTTGCGTTTGCTTCACATTGTGTTTTTTCAGGTTATGAACACGGCAAACCTGGAAGTGTTTACTTCCAGGTTCACCACTTTGCGCATGCGCAGGAGCGATCTGCGCGCTTTGCACATGAGCAGGAGCACTCTATCACATCACGCACATGTGCAAAAGCGGCGCTCTACTTACGGACTTTTTGGGGTGCGAACGGCACCCTGGAACGGATCGCGTCCATAAGTAGAGGTACCACTGTATGTATTTCTCATTTGGAAAAAAATGAACTGACAGCTTCTCCCAGATTCAGTATTGGAATGCTTGCTGTTATGCAGAAGGTAACTAACAACAAAATCATGAAAAGTGATTGGATGGGTCAAATGGCCAAGTGAATTAAAAGTATTCTTAAGAAGGAGAGCACTTAGTCGGTAGAGCATGAGACTCTAAATTTCAGTCTCATAGGTTCGAGCGCCACTCTAAGCAAAAAGATTCCTGCTTTGCTGGAAATTAGACTAGATGACCCTCATGGTCCCTTCCATCTCTATGATTCTATGAATCCAAGCCATTAGATACTGTATGGAAGTGAGAGCTGGACCATAAAGATGGCTGATCGCTGAAGAATTGATGCTTCTGAATTATGGTGCTGGAGGAGACTCTTGAGAGTCCCATGGACTGCAAGAAGATCAAACCTATCCATTCTTAAGGAAATCAGCCCTGAGTGCTCACTGGACAGATTGTGAAGCTGAGACTCCAGTACTTTGACCACCTCATGAGAAGAGAAGACTCCCTGGAAAAGACCCTGATGTTGGGAAAGATGGAGGGCACAAGGAGAAGGGGACGACAGAGGAAGAGATGGTTGGACAGTGTTCTCGAAGCTACCAGCATGAGTTTGACCAAACTGCGGGAGGCAGTGGAAGACAGGAGTGCCTGGAGTGCTCTGGTCCATGGGGTCACGAAGAGTCAGACACGACTAAACGACTAAACAACAACAACAACAACACTATAGTCTAGTTATTTCTATAGAGGTTTGAGATCTTTCTCAGAGTCAGTATGAAGATACAACACACATCTGATGTGCAAGCAACATGCTTGACACTATTTTTACTGTCTGTCTAAGGCTCTCAAAGGTAGATATTTGGATTTGTACCACATTGTGTACAATGTATATCATAAATTAGTCCTATATCCCTGTTTGTTCTTCTCAGCAAGCACTGCAATATTATGTAGCTGGAAAATCAGAGAACACAAACATAACAATTAAAATTTCAAAGTATCTAGAAATCCTTTTAAACTGAGCATAAAGCATGAATGTTAAGCATTCAAACACTGTTTAACTGCGAAGGAAGAAGGTTCAGTTTACCAACTATTGTGACACTGGGGATAATCTCCTGGAATGACCAGGGCCTGACCTACAGTGGTGGAGGAAGCGGGGTGTGTGGTCCGCCCCGGGTGTCATCACTGAGGTGGGTGACAAAATGAGGGAGGGTTGTTTTTTTAAAGGGCTCTCAAAACTTTTTAGGAGTGATGTGGTGGCTTAGGCGCCTGCAGGTTCCGCTCTGCCTGAAACGGCAGCGTGGGACTTGCGTCTGCCTACTGCCTCTCCCTCAGCTGCCCTATAGCTGAGGGGGAGGTGGCGGAGAGGCTCCCAGCGTCAGAGAGGCTCACCCCGCTCCCATGGGTGGATTGCAGGACATGTGCCCGCACCAGGCACCTGAGCGGCTAGCTACACCACTCTGGCATGGCCATGGTTTGCCATCTTTCTCCCTATCAAAGGAATACGCATGCTTAGTTGTTTTGGGAATAAGCCTCTACAATATTGTCGGTTGACTTTCACTGCTCTAAGGGTGTCCAAGTCAAAATTTGCATGGCTCTGCGCCTTTAACAGCTGCATTGAATTTCACAAGATCTGGGGTTTTTTTTATAAAGTGCTCTGGTAATACAGTGTTTCCCCAGCAGAACATGCAGCTGTTTGAGACATACAGCTGCCCTGTCATGGACTGGAGCTGGCAACATAGCTCAGTAGGCCACTATCTTTTTTCTCTAAACATATCTGACCATTCCCCTTTATTCCCAACAGTTCATATTTTTTCTCATCCTTGCTGGGGTTTCCCCCCAGCACTTATTTCTTTTTTGGCCCTTTTTTATCCAGTACTATGCTTTTACCAGACATAATTTCCCCCAAAGCCCTGCTTTTCAGCTCTGTCAAAGGGCCAAGTATTCTCATCTTGGTCATGTCCATTCTTTAAATAGTATACAGCTTTTCCTTGTCTTTGGAGCCACACCTGACCCACCCCAATTCCACACATCCACTTCTCTTTTCATTAGTTCTCCTTGCTGCACTTTTCTTTTCTGCCCTCCCCCACAACTGACACTTGACTTAGGTTCCGGCTTCCTGGTCTGCCCCTTCCTCTTCTGCCCCTTTTCCTTTACCTACCTCTCCCTTGGCCTCCCCATTTTCTTACATCTTGAACCTTCTCATCTTGGCAAACTTTCTACCGATGACAGTTTCATTTTCACAGCAATTATAATACCTGTGAATATTCCATGACATCACAGCAATTCAGCCAAATAGCTAGGAAGTATTGTTTCCAACATATTTTTGCTTATGTTGTAACACTGAAAGGCAACCACACAAGGGTCAAAGAGTTATACATTTCGAAGGCACAATAAGACTCCCTGTACCATATTCTGAAAGCTATCATGCATTCACTTGTATGAAAGGATTTGTAGAATTTATTCAGCTTCAGCAAAGATGGTGCTAGAGATACTGGTCAGGATATTTGTGAACCTAAGAGTTTTAACCTTCAAATAGCAATCAGGTAAAGATCTAGGCAGATCCTCACTCTGTCCCAACAAGTCAAAAGTACTTAGAGAACAGAAAACAATTTGCAATCAGCCATGACCATTATGAGGAGGAAAAAGATATGCAAAACAAGAAATAGGACCTGCAAGAAGAGTTCTATATTAAATGTTTCCATAAATAAACCCAGGCCATCCATATAAGTTACAATTACAATGGATGGTATACATTAATCACATCCAAAGGAAACCCAAGGTACTTAAGTCCATTGATTTCAATGAGTCTACTCTAAGCTAAAATTAGGTAACATCTACTATTTATTAAATATGTATCTAAATTATTAGTAGCCAGTGCTTTCTTTTTCTGGGGGGACGCAGGGGGATGCATACCCCTAAACATTTTGTGAGTCTAAGTTTGGCCTCACTGAGGGGCAGTATTTCAATATGAGTAAGAAAATAAGAGTACCCCTAAACATTTTTTTTTAAAAAAGGACTGTCAGTAGCATTTATTTATGCTTTGTAACACAATGTAAGACTATGAAAGACTTCTCTTTGTAAACCATTTTGGGGATTTTTACAATCAAGCAATGTATAAATGTTAAGAAATT